GGTCGATGGTGATATTTAAAAGCAGCATGAAGGATATAGAGATTTAGGCGTGAACTGGTAAAGCCCAAATTGTTGAGCCACCAAATTTGGCTGGTAAGCTACCAATCCTGGTGTGCTACCGACAACAACAACAAACAAGAATTAGGGAGATAAAAACGCCTCCAGATACTTAGCGAGTTGTTCTTGTCTTCATCGTTAGGATGATGGAAAGCCCTAGTAAACCATTCAAGCCCATGCAATTTGGCACAAAAAGGCGCCATCGAAGGCTCAAACTCGACGCGAGTTAACATGATGTTGAACATGAGTCGAAACACCTCAATGTTAGGAAAAGTTTTGTCACTGGGAGTCATTGGGATCAGATGTTTCCAAATAATATGGCGCTCTATTGAAGGACAAGCCACTCTTTTCATCCCATAAGGCTTAATATCTTTGAAAAAAGTGGCATTAAGCCATAATTGCAAGAACCAAAAAGGGCCATGGGCCAAAACTTTCTTTTTTCTGGAGTGAGTAGGGTCAAAGGTTTTTATTTGGAAAACGACCCCCGTTAGAGATTCATATAATGAAGCTAAGATTAATTGGCCTAGAGCAATGTCGTTACCATGATGTAACTGAGTGGCTAAGTATGAGTATTGTTTTTCTATCTGCATGGATCTAGAGTAGAAGACAAAGCGAGATAGCCATAGAGTCAAGAAGGCTACATGTTCTTCAAGAGTAATGGGGCCTGTTGTTCTAGCATAATAGTCGATAAAATTATTGTACGTCGGTTTTCTGGTTTCACCTACGTCGATTCTCAAAGGCATATGAGCCAAATCCTCAAAGTTAAAAACGCGACCAGTCGACTTTAAACCTGTGATAACATCTATGTCTAAGAATGTTGGAGTTATCATGCCATATTTAGTCTGGAAGGTATTCGTCGATCCCTCCCAAAATTGTAATGCAGCAAGCAACATACCATGGGAGTAAGGAGGACCACAACGAGAGATTTGCAGAAGGTTATAAATACCTAAATCTTTCCATTGGCCAACTTTCTCTACCTCTAAATATTCCATCCAAGCACAAAATTTAGGGTAGTTTATAGGAGGATCAGTTCTAAAGTTTCTATCAACATAGTGAAGTGATAAAGGTTGTTCAAGGGAGACTAACGGTCTAGTAACATTACTGCATGGAAAATGCATGTTTGTTTGTAGAGACTATTGTTTCACCTTCTTCAAGAAGAGGAACTAGGAAGGCTAAAGGTTTATTAACAAGAGAAAAGAAATCAATACCTGAGATTTCCATATTTTAGCCTTTTCTTCAGCGTAGCGAGGTTCAGGAACATACTCTCTTCCATCAATAATGAATGGATGTTGTAGTTTTGCTGAATGAGGAATGTGTTTGGATGAGCTCGCCATTAGAGAGGAAGAAAATATTGAAGAATATGAAGAACTAAAAGAATAAATAGGGTTTCATTCTTTTGAGAAGAAGGTTCATTGAAGGTTTGGTTGTAGAAAGAAAGAGAAACCCTAAGTTAAAAAGGAAAACAAAAAACATTTGAGTTCCTTTAGTTTAACTTTTCAAGTTCGTGTGCCACATTCGAGGACACGTGGTGACGCAAGGTTAAAGATAGCGGGCCACGTCTCCCATTTAAAAGAGATAATGAGTGAGTTGATAGGCACACGTCTCGAAGAAAATATGAAATACGTTATCATGATGACATGACATCATAAGGGGGGGGGGGATAGTAACATCAACTAAGCAATGAAAACGATTAAGTTTTGATTGAAGGTGGTCGACAGTTTAGAGATGCTATTACCTCATATTTGTTGAATTCGAAAATGGAATCTATGGGGGACATTTTGTGACCTTAAAATTTCTTTAAGGCATCTATTACATTGATTAGTAGGGCAACCCTGTGAACTGAGGGGAAAGTGCCTTCCATGAGTAAGGACTTTAAAAAGATTAGAGTCAAGAAAATGATAGCTGAAAAGTTCTTATAAAGAATCAAAGAGAGATTGACGAACAAAAGAGCAAGTAGTCGATAGAGGAAATAACGAGCTAGTCGACTTTAGTTTTGTCGACAAAACTGGAACCCTAGACTTAGAGAATTTGGGTTATTTGTTCACGTTAAGGGTTGATGTCGAAGTAAAACTTATAGGCGGGATAAATTTTGAAATTTGAATATTACAGCGGTTGAAAGAAGTTTCCTAATCAAGGCGCCAACTACGTGACTAAATCTTAGGAGAAAATTTCTATTAAGCCACATACGTGTCAACTTAGTATTACATTGAAGTGCATGTTCATTTATTATGTAACTACTATAAATAAGAGGGTCCAATATAGGATTCAGGGTGTTCACTTTGTACTAAAATCACTTGTAAAACTTCATATTTTCAAGCGTAAGGAAGCAAAAGTTCAAGAGTGTTAATGTACGTGAATCACCATATTTATTTCAATGCAAACTCCCTTATTTTCAGTTGTGTCCTTTAAATATTTTACTTGCATCTTATTTATTTTTGGACAATCTTTTTATATTGTCATTTACTTTATTGAATCTCGTTGCATCACGATATTGGAATTCACTGAGAGTTCACTCGACATTTACTTTGTTTAGGACAAGTCCTAGTCCTCTTTCGGTCACGAGTCACCTTCAGCCGGTCAATTCATAGCATATTTGTGGAAGACTTTTACTTGCTCCATTTGTTTGAAGAAAACCATTTCTCGCAAAGTAAGGCATCACGTCGACAGAACAAGTTCCATTTCATTCTATTAGCATATGTCTTAGGATTAACTAGTCGATCCTGGAGTAACCCTTAGTTTTAGACTTAGGAAGGACAAGCGGTTGTTTACCAATTTCCACAGTAAACAGTAACCGACTTCAGAGCCTCTCAATATAGAACTACATCTACTTTAGATGGATTCACAAATACCATCACCCTAAATAACATGCTTAAGAAAACTCATCTCCTCAAGCTATAATCTACACCTTGACAACTTAGCATAAAGTTTTCTCCCTCTCGATGCTGAAACTCAAATCGCAACATTCCACATGCCTATATTCTGACATTAAATCATAATGTCCTTAATAAATACCGCAACGAGCTGATCCAAATATTCACAATGCCTTCACCGAGTTCTAAAATTTGTCCTCTAACTATCCCAACCCTTCACCCGAATCTGAAGGTAACCTAACCTCAATTCGATTATACTTAAGACATACTCGCCTACCAGTTGGTCCATCAAATCATCAATCCTTTGAAGTGGATATTCAATCTCAATCATTACCTTAATCAACTATCAGTAATCCACATGCGACCTCATACAACCATTGTCACAAACATGCAAACATCTGAGCCTCACCTCCTAAGAGTTATCCTACTTGCTTAGCAAATATCTTCAGGAAAACATCAGGAAGTTACACACCACTGGCATATCACTAGCCGTCACATTGCTCTCCATCCCCTGAGAAACAACCTTCAACAATACCTGAATTTAAGGTAAAATTCTCTCATTTCAATCCCTATTAATCACATTATTTTGTCATCTTTTTGAAAAACGGTATGTTAATACCAGATATGTATCTCTGGTTTATGTATGAACATAACCAGAAGCGCATTTCAGTTCATGTTTCTGCATTTTTCAGCTCTATCATTTTCTTATTTGCTTAGGATGTTTCTTAGTTAATTTTTTTTTTACATATTAGGTATGGTGCATCTCGACATCATTCCCAAACATATTGTGTCTCAAGGTGTTTCACCTATCATTTTGAAGATGATCGATGTTCGGAAGCATTTTATAAATGAATAAGAATATGAATTTCGCGATGACATGCTGTAGTGGATTCGTACGGAGACCATCAAATAAGGCTTTGGTGTTGTGATATTAAGGTTCAATAATGTGTCGGATAGAAGAAGTGCATTTGTGACTTTGACATACGAAAAAAGTGGACAATATAGACGTCAAATCCAAAATTTGAAACGAGATGATACCGATTCATGAAAATGTGAGTGTCCATTTAGGTTGCATGGGTATCGGTTGACAAATAATAAATGGAAGTTTAATGTGATATGTGATTTACATAATTATGATTTAAGTGCAAAGTTAACTGATCATCCATTTTCATGCCGCCTCTTGTCGGAAGAGAAGGAATGTGTGTCCGACATGACAATTAACTTGGTATCCCCAAAAACATACTTGCAACTTTCCGGAAACCACTGACTTGAAACCACCTTCTCAATCGGTAAAAACAAAAGGAGCATCTAAAAAGGTCAAACCTACATCGAGTAAAAATTCAACGATAAGGAGTCCTTCATATTTTGAACATGTTGACAAGGTATTTCCCGATTCGCCGACTCCAAAATCTCAAAAAAGTTTTTTCAAAGGAGCCCACATTAGCAAACCACCTCCTACACTGCCTCCACCAAAAATACCATTCATCGAGGAGATGCCGATTTTTATACATACATACATTGAACGGATCATCAACGTTGGTGGTGACGAAAACTGTGGTTTTCAAGCTGTTTTTGGTGACGCTCACCAACTTGTTCGCGATACTCTTATCAGAGTGTTGAAGAACAATAGTGAATTATACACACGGGTGCTCGAGACTAAAGAAAAAGTTAAAGAGATTTATCACACGCTAGTATCTTGCGTTAGTGGATTTGCACCGAAGGAAAAACAAATGCTCTTCCCTGAGATGGGTCATTTGATAACAAGTGCGTATGAGAGATTGTGTATTAATCTTACAAGTTACAAGATACAGTTTCTCTAAATTTTTTTATCCACTACACACTACTCCATCACCAAATCCCAATGATCGTATCATCTGTGTTGGATGACTCTAAAAAATGCGACATTTTATTCATGTGTATTTGAAACCCTAATACTCTATACCACTTGTATCAGAGAGTGGTTGAATCATTATACAATTCAATGTGAAACTTGGCCGGAACATTTATCGAAAGGATGCAAGAGTAAGAGTATACCAAATTCTAAAAGATAAGGAGAATGGCAGGCCCAATAACATGTTCTGTCTGAAACCGCCTGGCACAAACGCAGTGGTTTGTATCTCTCTCATACACAAAAGCTGTGCAATTCTCGTGGTTACTACTACTCATTGGCAGCACAATCCTCATTTTGAGTCAGCTACCCGTGGTACCCCTTGCCTCACACACCATCTCCATTTTCCTTCTTTTTGAAACCAAGCTAACTTTTTTCTCATTGTCCGTTTCAGGAAAAAACATGTCTTCAGAATCTCAAGAACCGCCGCTCTCATCCGAAGCGCAAAGCAAAAAGGCCGCTTCAAAGGAAGCCAAAAAGCAGGAGAAGCTCCGCCGCAAAGAACTTGCCGCCGCCACCGCCGCCGCATCAAATCTCTCTGTTGAAGATGACCCCCTTGCCGTCAATTACGGCTTCGTCCCCCTCATTGAGATCCAATCAAAGACCTCCGTTGATGTCAACGAATGGACCCGAGTCGAGGCTCTCGATGATTCAGTAGCGAACAAACCGGTCAAAATCCGGGGGAGGGCACAGACCATTCGACCAGTGGGGAAGAAGATGGCCTTCTTGGTCATCAGAGAAAACGGTTTCACTGTACAGTGTTTGGTTCAGGCACAACCCGATTCGGTGAGTCCGCAGATGGTGAAATTTGCGGCCGCACTCAGCCGTGAGTCTATTGTCGATGTCGAAGGTGTGGTTTCCATTCCGGCAGCTGCTATTAAAGGTGCCACACAACAGGTTGCTTGTGTTCTTTTGTTTCTTAGGTTTTATGATTCTGTGGTGTTTTGAATTTAGGGTTTGTCAATTTTGATTGTTTAGGTTTCTTATTATGATTATGATGATATTCTTTTGTGTGGTTTTGTTCTCTATAGGTTGAAATTCAAGTCAGCAAACTGTATTGTGTGAGTAAGGCCGTTCCTACTCTGCCGATTAATCTCGAGGATGCTGCCCGAAGTGAAGTTGAAATCGAGAAGGCCATTCAGGTATATACATTTATTACTGACTAGCAATGTTGTAATTGAAGTTGCAGCAAAATCTTTAATCACAACCAGGTTGTGGTTTCTCAGTTGCAATTACTTTATTGCGTATCACAATTTAATCTTACTGATTGATTCAAGATGTGTGTTTTTTGTTCGTTTAATATAGTGAAACTTCTCTCCTGTTATATGTAGTGGTGTAAGAACCAAACTAACCAATCACCCTGTGAACCCGAAGATCCAAATCAATTAAGATGTTCGATTTTTTTCCTTCATGCTAGATCCAAACCGAACCTAACCAATCAAACCCGGCCTTTATTGGTTCACTCATCCGTTTCATGCCATTCAAAACCATCACCGAGACCCAAACCAAATTGTTACATTTTGTTATTTCTTTTATATCTCACCATATTATAAATGTTATGTTAAAAAATATGTCGCGTTCGATGTTCGATTTTTTTCCTTCATACTAGATCCAAACCGAACCTAACCAATCAAACCCAGCCTCTATTGGTTCACTTATCAGTTTCATGTCATTCAAAAAACCATCACCGAGACCCAAACCAAATTGTTACATTTTGTTATTTCTTTTATGTCTCACCATATTCTGAATGTTATGTTAAAAAATATGTCGTGTGAATGTCTTTTAAATTGTTATGCATTATTTTTTTCTCTTTCATTGAGCTTATTTACTGGTTTTAATAATATAGGAAATTTATAATGTTTGAAACAAAGTTCATTTTCTAAAGTTTTTTTAAAGAAGTTTCTTAGATTTTTAAAAGTAATCAACCCGATTGAACCAAATAAAACCAACCTGTTCTTCATTGATTTGGTTGGTTCAGATTTCGTGAGAAAAGATTGTATAAACAGAACCAAATCGACTATTTTTCACTGGTTCAATTTTTCCCCTCAAAATCAAACCAAACAGACCCGTTACACCTCTATTTATATGAATGTTGATGGGGACTTTTTACTTGGTGCAGGCTGGTGAACAACTTGTTCGTGTGAATCAGGATACACGATTGAACTTTAGAGTACTTGACCTACGAACACCAGCTAATCAAGGAATTTTCCGCATTCAGTCTCAAGTTGGAAATGTAAAGCCTGTTATTTCTGATGTTATTCTCACAAGTGTTTCTTTGAATCATAGTTGTTACTTATAATTTTTTTGGAATAAATGGCTTCTGAGGAACTAAGCTGAATGATCTGGTTATCTCACAATTACGATGTTGGGGCAGGCGTTTAGACAATTTTTATTAGCTGAAAGCTTTGTTGAAATCCACACTCCAAAGTTGATTGCTGGATCTAGTGAGGGTGGAGCTGCTGTCTTTAGACTGGACTACAAAGGGCAACCTGCATGCTTGGCTCAGTCACCTCAGCTTCACAAGCAAATGTCAATATGTGCTGACTTTGGCCGTGTTTTTGAGATTGGTCCTGTGTTTAGAGCAGAAGATTCCTTTACTCACAGACATCTGTGCGAATTTACAGGGCTTGATGTTGAAATGGAGATTAAGAAGCATTATTTTGAGGTACATTTGACAGATTGGAAGTTTTGGGTATTAGCATATGAAATTATTGAGGGGCAGAACTTGGTTTACTGATGATTTGAGTTTTTGGCAGGTTATGGATGTAGTCGACAGATTATTCGTCGCTATGTTTGACAGTTTGAACACAAATTGTAAGAAGGATCTTGAAGCTGTGGCAAATCAGTATCCATTTGAACCTTTAAAGGTGTTTATTTTGTATTATTTTGGTTGTCTTATGCATGGGATTTGTTATTTATCACACTATCAGTTTCGTTTTGTTCGAATGATTTGTTATGTAGTGAGTAGATGAGGCTTTTGTTGTGTAATGTATTACTCCCTCCATCCAACAATGAATGACCTAGATGACCATTTCACACATTAGAAAAGTGTATAAATGAAAAAGAGATTTTTATTTACCTAAGTACCCACTATCAAATATTTTGAGTGATGAAAGTGGTATTAATTAAAGGGTACAATTGGAAAAAATGAATTAATATTGCATATTTGCATTGTAAATTGAAACAGGTCATTCATTTTGGGACTTTTTTTTGTGTGCAAATGGGTCACTCATTGAGTCATTGTTGGATGGGGGGAGTAGTATTATGTGCAAATGAATGCATTTTTACATTTTATGATCTGACTATAGCCTTGTAAATGTGCAGTATCTGAGAAAAACTCTGCGGCTTACATATGAAGAAGGTATTCAGATGCTCAAGGTAAGCTTAAATGTTTCTCAACTAATTAACTTGCATGCTGTAGATAAACAAACAAATGTGACAGGATAATCGTGGCAATACTTGAACCTTTAAATCTTTTATAGTTGTATATTTCGTAACGTTGAGATAGAGAGTTGGAAGTTTAAGCACCGATAGGCAGTGTCCTGTGCACATTTTAATCTTATAGATTATCATACTTAGTATCGTCTCTCAACCACCATGCAGTCATTTTTTGAAATATTGGTCAAGTTATTGAAACTATATTATAAATGTCATTGTGAAAGGTAAAACCCTTTTCCATTTTTTCTTTCTCCCTTAATATAAAACCCTTTTCAAAATTTTACATGCATTAGTGATTTACTTACCAAAATTTCCCTATTCAATTTATGGTTATGTTGTGCAGCTAGTAATGATTTTGCTTTGCAGGAAGTTGGAGTAGAAATTGAACCTTTTGGTGACTTAAATACTGAAGCAGAAAGGAAACTAGGTCAACTAGTTTTGGAAAAGTAATTCCCTATTCACATCTTTTACAAGTAAAGATTTTGTCTCTGTTTTAAGGATATTGTTTAAGATTGTTTCTGGACTGTAATTCTATATATAGGTATGGAACAGAGTTCTATATCCTTCACCGGTATCCTTTGGCTATAAGGCCATTTTATACAATGCCTTGCTATGACAATTCAAATTACAGCAACTCGTTTGATGTCTTTATTCGTGGTAAGTTATTTTATCATGCAATGCTTTGGTATTACAATCTAGTGCTCAATTCATTATGTCTCATTTAACCTATGCATTTGTACTTCCATAAAAGCATGAGATTTTGATCTCCAAATGTGTGTATAGCAGCTTGTGCTTTTGATAATTGTTGCTTGATTTGAACTTCTGTGTATTGCTTTCCCCTCAGGTGAGGAGATAATTTCAGGAGCTCAGCGTGTTCACGTGCCAGAATTTCTGGAACAACGTGCTCAGGCTTGCGGTATTGATGTCAAAACAATATCTTCTTACATTGATTCTTTCAGGTATTATTTTTTACCTCTTCCTCTTGTTTACAATGGCTCTTGTTATCAATTTTGAGTGTAAGAAATTGTCTTTCGGAAAGCTAAATGATTCATCATTTCCAGATATGGTGCACCACCACATGGTGGCTTTGGTGTAGGATTGGAGCGTGTAGTAATGCTCTTCTGTGGCCTGAATAACATCCGCAAAACATCGCTTTATCCACGCGACCCACTCAGGATTGCACCATGATGATATTATTAGTGTTTGTTTATGAGTTGAAAATAATGCGACCTTACTTTCAATGGAAGCTATGCCAGTCGTGAGGTGAAAATACTGTTTCTAATCAAACTATCAACAGTGGTGTGGATATTGAGTCTTTTCTATTTTCACCGGCAATCTTGCAACTGATATAAAACATTTTGTAGAAGTATTTCTGATGTTTGACATGATGTTGTCGCCATTTTGTTCCCACACTCAATTTCAAATGGTCCACTTTTTGTCTAATCAGTATCCAAGTTATTCAGTGATAAATTTAATCTTTTTCTTAATGAATTTTTGTATGAATATTTGTTTGTTTGTCACGAAGAGTGTTTGTTTGTCAGCTCCGAGGGCGGTGTGTTATAAATAGGGCTGGTCCTGACTGACTTTTTAGGGATTCAGGATAAATTGAACAACCTTGAATTTTAATTTTATTGGGCTCAGTTTTTATATTAAAGGTTATCGATTTCATTTGATATTATTTATAAAATCTTATATAATTTTTCTTTTAGAGATTTTGTTGATCAAAATTTCTTCATCAGTTTCATTGATTGGAATATATATTATCTTTGATGAAACTTCTTTATTAGTATATGATTCTTTAGAAGATCATTCATCTCCCGAAATTGTTATTTTAAATAAAACTATGAAGTGATTTCATTATTTCTTCAACAAAAGAATCTCTTGATTGATGAACTTGATGATATTCATTTAGGATTAGATCAGGGGAGGGAATGATTTTAAGGATTAGGTCACGGGAGGGAAGAGGAGAAATTTTAATTATAAAGAAGAGGAGAAATTTTAATTATAAATATGTTTTGTTCACGAGGGGTTTATTAATAATTTACTTTTGTTTCTTTATGATATTATATAAGTGATATGATATTCAAAGATGAAAAATTCATAATATTTTTTTCATAATAAAATTTCTAATGTTGAGTGATTAAAAATATTATAACTTACTACACAACGTTAAAAAAATTGAATAAATTTAATTTGAATTATGAATTATAACTCTCACACAAATTAAAGTATGTGTTGATAACAACTTTTATAACTCTCACATAAATTAAGTATGTGTTGATAACAACTTTTAAATTGTGAAGAATCATATAATAAAAAAAATGCATAAAATAATTTATAATTAAATATTAATGAAAGAAAAACAATTATAATAACAATTCAAACACAAATTAAAATAAATAATTTATTTTATATAAAGGAAAATATAACGTAACAAAATTATACAAAAGAAAATAACTTGAAAAAAAATAAGTTATTTTATATAAAAGAAAATATAATAAAATATATAATAAAATTAGAAAAACAAATATAAGTAAATTAAAAAATTATAAAAAAATGAGGTGATTATAATTTATGTGAAATACAAGGTGAAAAACAATTATAATAAATTGATAGAAGTAATAGAGAAAAATCACACAAAAAAGAAGCAGTAAAATGCAAGAAAATAAATAATTTTGAAATATATTAAAATTAAACTAAAAATATTTTAGTAAATATAATAATTTTTTTAAAATAAACATTCATCTCCCCTCCTCTCCGAATCCCTCCAATTTGGAGGAATACAAAAAAAAATGTGTTTTGGAGGGGTTCCCCCCTCCCCCTCCTAAAATTTGAACCATTCATAATCAATTATAAATTTTCCATCTCTTTCCCTCCCCTTCCGTCCACTACATCTATCTCGAACCAAACACACCTTTAGATATTTGTCAAACAAGAAAGTTCTAATATATTTTAAAATATTTAATGATTTTATGAGAACTTTTTTAAAATATTAAAAGTTATTTTCATTTATTTTTTATAAATTAAAAGAATAATTTCAACATCTAATTACTTAAATATTTATCATTAAAGATTTTAATATAATCAAAATCATATAATTTTTTAAAATATACATGTAAAAGTTAATTTTTATTTTTTTTATAAATAATATTAAATTTAAGTAATATTTTAAAATTTTAAAAAAATCATAATAAAATATTTAAAATAATATTTAAAATTAAAATAAACTACACTTTGTTTATTGTATTTTCTAAAATATGATTTATGTAATTTATAAAAATCCTAAATTGCTATGTAGGTTAATTTGTGATTTTAAAATGAGATCAAAATTAAAAGAATAATTTTAACATATAATTATTTAAATATTTATCATTAAAAAATTTAATATAATCAAAATCACATAATTTTAAAAAAATGATATATCTAAAAAATAATATTTGTTTATTAAAATTTATTTAAAATAACATTAAATTTAAATGATATATCTAAAAAATAATCTTCCTTTTTAAAAAGTTCTAACAATAATTTTAAGTAAATTATAAAATTTTGAAATTGCTATGTAGGTTAATTTGTGATTTTAAAATGAGATTAAACTTGAAATCTTTATAAGGTCAACTTTGTTGTTGAATTAAAACAATTGAATTGTAAAAAAAAAAACTAATGTGGGATCGAAGGGTTTTGAAGTGAGTACATGTCACTCCGACCTTCATTCTCGAAATTTCAATAACATCCGCTAGACCATTTTCCCGATTTGCAATAATAATGTAATATATTATCGTTATATTGTTATTACAAATCGGGTAAATGGTCCAACAAATGTTATTGAAATTTTGGGAATTAAGGTCCGAGTGACATGTACTCAGTACAAAACCCATCGATCGCACATTAGTTTTTTTGGCAATTCAATTGTTTTAATTCAACAACAAAGTTAGCCTTATAAAGGTTTCAAGCTTGATCTCCTTTTAAAATCAGAAATTAGACAAGCACCCAATCAATATACACACATCATCATTCCCTCTGCGCGGGCAATATAGGCAAACACGTGAATAATCCTCAGTATGCCCTAGCACACGATCAAAACTGTGTATACGGTGGGATATGACCCATCTCTGAAAATGAAAAAGAAAATTATTCTTAACATGTGTAAAAAAGTGATTTTAATATTAATAATGGCTATGAAAATTATTGTCAGCTGAGTGTAGGAGCCTGCCATTTTCTTTGTCATCCAACGAGAACCTTCACTTAGTTTGTAGTACATGTATACTAAACAGGAAGCCCCCCAATTCCACTGATGAATGGTCGACAAGTTGATGAAGTACTTAAATCAACGTAGGTTGCACTTTTGTCTACAAAAATGGAAGTGCCATTCAAGAATAGGAAAAACACCTCAAAGCACACTCTTGGTGATAATTAACCTGTAGCTCATCGCTGTTGGCATTCTCGGACAACTCCAAGTTATTTAGATATAGCATACCAAGTAATAAAATTTGGCATGTGCACCTCTGGTGCTCTCACACTGCATAAGGGCCTCCATTAGGCCAGCTCCCAAATAAATGACCATAAACTCCTAGGATTCATCCCGTTTGATCTTTAAGTGATCAAGTAAATTCCACCTTATGGGAAGGTGTAGGAGGGCACTTCGGAATAAAAAATCCTTAGGCTGATAAAGCTTCAGAATCTTTCTGATATGGTTAATAGACTTCAAACATTCTCGCTCCTGTTAAAATTAATATAATAATATCAGCCACTGGGAAATTATATAAAACATACAAATAACAACCATTAACAAATATACCTCTCCGACCCAAACATGTCCAACGACATGCTCTCTATAGTATATTAATAAAGAGGTGTCAGATGGAACTCCTAGAAAATGGTCTGCAAGTGGAGGAACACCATCATGTGCAGCAACAAGAACTTCCTCTTGGTTATGTGATCACGGGAGATGTGCCCCTGGGATGAGGACCCTTGTGACAAGCGGCTCCTAGAAGTCGAAGCTTCCCCCTCAATAGGACTAAGAACGGTTCCCGCCTAACTCTTGCCTGCTCAGATTGAAGCCTAGCCCTCTCATGTCGAATAGATGCGTGTTGGGTTTCACGGTCGAGTCTCAATCTCCTGTCGTTGTTTGCATCCATTTTTTCTTGAAACAATAAGAGAAAAAGACACCGGTTTGCAATTCTGTAACAGAAAGGACCCAATTTGGAGATTCATCTGTGAAAATCAGAAAGGACTCAATTTGGAGAAGCATCTCCAAAAAAACTTGTGTTTGTCTTCAATGGCAGACACAATTTCCCTAACAACCCAAAGTTCAACCAAATCATAGTGCATGTCTGTAACATTACCTATTTCGAATTCTAATAATAACTAATGAATTAAAAAGAATTTTTTTACCTAATACATTAATCAATAGTAAAAAAAATAAATGTCAAACTTACTTAGAAAAGTGTTGATGAGGATGAACAATGTTGAATTGAGTTGGGATTGGAAAGATTGAAGTAGAGGTAATTTTGTTGCTTGAAAAATTGGCTGGAACAATTTTGCTCACGAGCTCCAAAGAGGGATAAAAAAGTTTCAGAAAATGTAGGAGGAGAGGGAGGGTCTGACGCGTGTTATATATATATATATATATATATATATATATATATATATATATATATATATATATATATATATATATATATATATATATATATATATATATATATATATATATATATATATATATATATATATATATATATATATATATATATATATATATATATATATATATATATATATATATATATATATATATATATATATATATATATATATATATATATATATATATATATATATATATATATATATATATATATATATACATTGAACGCGTTCGGAGACACTTCTCCGAAACTTTCCCTTATTTTGGAAACAAGAGTTAATTTGAAGATGTATCTGCGAACAAACCATAAAACACATTCGCAGATACATCTCCGAATTAAATTTATATAAATTTAGGATACGATGCAATAGAAGATGAATCTCCGAAAACTGGGGGCATTTTTGACTTTTTTCCAAGGGCCTGTGAGCAAATATAAGGGTGAGAAAAGAAATTTCCTTTACAAAATCCATCACCTAAAGTTTTGAGGCCCCATTTTTTTTGAGGACATGGGCTGTGGGACTGCTTGACCTGGCCCAAGACC